TGCATATGAATAATCACTAATTTTCTTTGTTGATTCTGACATGTTTAGATTGATTAAGAATTTAAGATATTATTGATTAAGATTCAATTTTTTGAGAAAGTTAATGAGAAGGTAATTTTTCATAAATTGTTTAGTCCCAATATAAATGTTCTACTTTTAGTTAAATCGGAAAGAGATTAGTTTCAAAATACACATAAATTGATTTGAAAATATCTTAACTACTAAATCAAAAAAGAATATAAGATGTTGAGAAGAGAAATTGTGCCTTCTTCTCCATTTTTTTTTTTTTTGAATAACTTCAATTCCACGCATATATACTTGTAAAATATGTTGTTTACAAATATTAAGTAAGGCTTTACTTGTAAAGATAGTGAGGCTGTTAAGTGTGGTTTATTAAAATTGTTTATACTTAAATTGATATTGGAGGGATTCAAACCTATATTTTTAGTATGTTTAAATAATTCTTTAACCACTTGAATTAATCCAATAGATTAATTGATTCATATTTTATTAAATGAATTCTATAAAAGATTGCTTATAATTTACTTGATTATGAACTTTAATACTAACAAATCCATCTGTCATTTATAAATCTAAAATTTTGCACATCTAAGCCAATGCAATACAAATTGACATTCATAGAAACATGATACAAAGCACTAGATCTGAGTATTGGAGAGAAAAGGAAAAATCTATAAGAATCCAGCACTTTTTTGACTCATTAATAAAGATGATCCAAAAGGGTGAGGATTAAAAAGATTTGTTTAAGAGAGTAACACAAATGCTAACCCTAGAATTACATGATTAATCATTAACATTATCATTGCCACCGGCCTTGTGAAGTTGTGGGGTCTACCTGTCTATATTTGCAAGAAATTCTTCAGCAACAATGCCTCCAAAGCTCTAGGTTTGAGATAGACCATGGGGTCCTCGCTTTGACCATGTCTTCATGCAAAGTTAAGCTTCAAAGTCAAGCATCAATGCATTGCATCGGATAACATCAAGGTCTTTTATTAATTGAGTGGGGTGTTTAATTTAGAGGTATTTTCGATGTAAAAATTAAGATGAACATGATATATAAATTCGAGAGATTTGATTCGTTTCCATTGATTGAAATACAGGTTAATAATGCATCCAAGAACTTCAATGACTGAGGAAGTACGCATTTGGTGGATGTCATTTTCACTAGTTGTAAATATCGTGCGTGTTCTATATATGTGCTCATGCTTTTTGAATCAAGCAAGAAAAATAGCATTTTTAGGATAAGTATTTACTATTTCTGTCCCACAATAATTATTCTTTATAAGGTTTCTTTTTTTTTTTTTAATTAAAGATTTAAAAATAATTTATATATTTATTTATTATATTTTTAAAAAATTACACTACTAGATAAAAATTTTTTTTGATTAAATAATTAATTAAAATGAATTAATAACGATATAATAAAAACGAAAAATATATTTATTTACTTTTTAAAAAATAAAAAAAATTAATTTTAAATAAATTTTAAATTAAAAAATAATAATTATTTTGCAATGGATAGAGTATTAAATTATTTATTAATTGTTATGGAAAGAGAGCTACTCTTTTTTTTTTATGTTGGTTACACAACGAAAGACAACCTTCTCCTATTTCTTATCTCACCTTTTTTACATGTCATACGATTTAAACTCAAAATCTCTTATTTTTAACAAAAAAAAAATTTATTACTGAATTATTTAACTAGTTGACGAAAACTGCCCTTTTGCATACGGAAATAAATATATTTTTTTGACATCTGTTGCACCAAAACTGAAAATAAAT